GTGACAAAATATGGAAAAGTTCAAGGGGTATGAATACTTTTGCAAACCACTGTACACTGCAGTATGCATACATCCAAAAGAGGCTTCCGGTTGATTTTTTGATCCCACCTCCACTGTAGACGATTTTAACTAGGGTTGGGTAAAATTGTCAGAAAAACTGTCGATTAATATTTGCCACTTTGCATTTACTGCACGTAGTGCCATATATTGACATATTTTGTGTGTGTGACGCACTCTCACTATCGAATGTGTATGTGAGCCTGTGGCAAATTGTGTTACTAATAATCTGCTGCCACTCAACACTGTGGAAAAGGTGGGTTTCAATTCAGTTTGTTGAATAAAGAAGTTAGTTTGACTGATGATTTGTAAGTATAATTCTAGAACACAGYGTAACTTACTTYGAAGCAAAAACATGCAAGTGCAATAATCTTCTGTTAATCGTCATTTTAATCTTTATCAGCTAAAGAAYAGCCCCAATTTGGCCTGTGGCATCCTTAGATATAAAAAACAGTGACCGCTAAAAATATAACAAAAACAAATGTTTCATCTCAACTTACCTCAAGAACATRAGTTCTTGTCAACTGAGGAAACATCTCCAGTAATGTGTTCATGTTTTCATCCATCTCGTCTTCGTCATCTGTAAAATCTGATGCTGCCTGTCTGGATGCCTTCATACTAGGGCTCCTATACATAAAAAAATCCAAACAATTCTGTAAGACAATATTATTCTGCATGACAGCAAAATATGTATTTGATTCAGGGAACTTCTGCTAARTTTAAAAGCTTAAATGCCTCAGGAATACCACAGCCGGTCACAAATTTAGAAAGACAAACACYTACCTAAATTTCCTGGTCGGGGTTGTTTTTTTCTTTGGTTCATGGGGAACTCCATCCTCCTCCAAGTCGATGGAAATTACTTCGTCAAAAACCACTCCTCGTGCATGGGACTTAGATGGCGTTTTAAACGTCTTCATCTGATCTGAAAAACACATTATAGTAAACAGGTTGACTGATACTTTCCTGTAAGCATCAGTGTTTCCCCTAGGAAACTGGTCTTGGCGGGGCGTGGGTGGGAGGGGCTACTTGTTTTACAAAAACATAAATTTACATGACTCACCTGCAATTATGGTAATACATTTACACATAGATGAATATTTAATTGCCTAACTACAATCTAGTTGAGGACTACTCATGATAATTATCAATAAAATTCTTATTGATAATACAGCGGGTAAAATAAGTATTGAACACATCACCATTTTTCTCAGTAAATATATTACTAGTAGGGTTGGGCATAATCGTATCGTATGCAATTAATAGACAGAAAAACATTAATCGATTACTTTTTGACACTTGACGATTAATACGATGAATGCCACCAGGCAGTCTGCTCGGTGCCCCTCTCTGCTTCAAATATGATGAACGTAAAAAAAAGTTCTGTAAGTTATTTATCTCTCAACACGTTTTATAATTTGATGTATAGCCTGAAGTCTGTAATTTTGACACAATTTGGAACAGATTTTTACGAAGAGCAAATCTTTCCCACTAAATTGGTCATGTGACTAGGAGAACATAAGTGTCCAGGGACTCCAGGGGATTAATCGTCAAATTAATCGTTATCTGTTAAATACCACAATTA